GAAGCAAAAAAGCTTTAAACTCTCAACAAAAGGTAAGGAAATAAAACTCCTTATCAGAAACTAAATCACCCAAACAAAAAGAACACCAAACCCTCAACATCTGGGCAGGAATACATACAAACAGAAGCTTAAGCTGCACATCTTTCATCATGGCCTCCTATGGCAACAAGAGAAATGCTGACTCAGCCTGTATACAGTAAGGAAAGGGAACAGGCATGTTCCTACCTGCATTCAAGGTACCTAAAAAGCTGGGTGGGGTCCTGCCTTTTCACCACCCTTCTCCCATCACCTTTGGCAAAACTCACACCAGAACGTGAGGTCAGGAGAAGAGTCCTCAAAGGGCTGGCTAGAGCTAGAGAATGGGGGGGAGCAGGGCAAGGCAGAGTGAAAAAAGAGGTATTTCCCATTTGCTGCTATGCAAAGATCTGTGTTCACCCCTCTTCTTGAGCTTATCAAAACTAGTCCAGCACATTCCCTGCAAATTGTTCATGAGAAAGAGAGAGGAGCAAACGGTCCTTAGGGTCCCTGGGTAAGCATCATCAGAAGGGCTTCAGGGAGCTGTGATCCACCACTGGGAGAGAACTGCACCCACCTAGGGAACATCATTTGTGCCAAATGTCAGCAAGAGCAGGCATCAGAAAGAAGCAGCAACTACTCCTTTTTAAAATATGTTTTATATCACCTAAAGAGTCTGCAGGATGATGGCAGACAGACCTTGCTTGAGACCGCTGCAGCCTGCCCCAACATGTGAGGGAAGAACCAGCATCTACAACTGTCATTACTCACCATCGCTTCTGCACTCTCAGCCATTAAGCCTGTCTTCCTCTTGGATCCTCTGCAGTGGTCACTTTGCTCTCTGCATCCTCCTCCTCTCTGGGTCCTGCCATGTTTTGTCCTGTGGCAACAGGGCAACCAGCAGCAGAGGTTGTTCCATCCAGCAGGTAGCTCCTGCTCCAGGCTCCTTGGGCCAGCGTGGAAAAGCCTCCACCAAACCCAGCTCCTGTACTTGTCTCAAGGTGACTAGAGACTGACTGCCAGGCACTTGACTTTTCCATTCATACACGTCACTGAATCCTATCCCTGCTGTCCCAAATCCCTTAACTATAGGTTTGCCTGTTGTTTCACAGGAGAAATCTCTGAGGCCTATTGCTCCATGATAAAGCTTTCACAGAACAACAGAAACTCTTAATCCTCTTTGCTTCAAGTCACGCATTCAAAGTCACTATTGCAATTCTTTTCACATAGACAAAAACATCACCACATTATCTTTTTCTTTCTTTTTTTTTTGTCTGAATATACCTTATTACATGACTTTAAGTATTAAAAAAACCCAAACCCAAAACCTTCTAAAACTGCTTCACTCCTTGGTTTTGGGAAAATATGTTTTGCCCTCAAAGAGGAACTTGTATAAACTAAAGCTGTGATAGCAATGCTGGCAAGAGGCTAGCCACTAAACTGTATTTCTTTATTCCATTTGCGTATAATACGGGAAGACATATTAATTCTGGATGTGGCACTTAGTGCCATGGTATAGCCAATGTGGGGGTGTTGGATCATAGGCTGGACTTGATGATCTCAGAGGCCTTTTCCAGCCTCAGTAATTCTGTGATTCTGTGATAATATGGGACGAGATATTAATTCTCTTTCATGTACTGCATTTGCAGTTCCAAAAGATTTGCTGAAAATTGCCTCTGAGTAATTCTTGGTTTGTTATACATCTAGATTCTATAGTGTTAGACAATACTAAAACTACCAGTAGTTGTCATCACTTCAGGCGAGTTTTAAGAATTCTGCGTAGCATTCAGGTTCCAAGTTTTATGTTTTACCCCATTTCCAATATTAATTATAAAATACACAATTTATACTATAGCCTCATCCAATATTTTATCATGGATATTGTCTAAGTGTGGTGTGGAATATGCTAAAAGAAAAATAAATCAAGCAAAAATAAGCTGACATTAGCTACTCACTGCTACCTCTACAGATAGGAACCTTTTCTTACCATTAGTGTTTGGCACAACAGCATGGTGAGTAGACTACAAATGCTTCCCCTTGCACCAGGAGCAGCCCCCGCCCCAAAATGCCCATAAGCCAAGTGGACACAGGCCAAGTATTGCTGTCACAGGAGACAGAGACTCACCCCATCCTCACAACACCCACTCCTCCAGCCCCCAGGGACCACATGAAGAGCAAAGTGAAAACCAACAAACCACTCCAGTCATTGCCTGCAGACTGCAGCCAGCTCCAGCTGGGATATCGAGCATCCCTGGTCACAGCCTGGCAGGCAAGGCACCAAAGTAGGGTTAGGCAAGCTGCTGGTGCACACATATTTGTGCACACACACACTCCAGTGGGGACTAATTACATGTCACTGTCCTACAGCCTCTCCTGGACTGACTGACAAACAAATGTCCTTGTGACCTCTGTTCTCTAGACTACCCAAGTCAGCTCTAGTCAGCAGTAATTTGTTATCACCTTTCCTTTATCTGGCCAAGTGAAAATTTAGAAACCATCTGGTACTTTCAGTGAAAACCATAAAGAAATAACAGAACTTTAACATTTCCAAAATAAGATAGAAAACAGATCTTTTTATTGGGAACAAAATTTATGCAGGGAAAAGTAAAAAAAAAACCACCAAAAGAATGACAGCTGGGGGTGAACACATACAGTTAAAGGAAGAGCGCAGGCTGCACGACTTCTCCTGACCTAACAGTAAGAGAAATCTCTGCATCTTCAGCAGGGAAAGACAGAAAACCAGACATGTCCTATCTGTCTCATAAAGATGTCTCCAGTCTCAGACTCCCACATCAATGTGAAAAATCCTTCCCAGCCCAAGATTACACCAGTGATGAAGCAAACAGCTGCCAGAGTACCCACAGCCCTGCCAGGGCTGACAGCAGCTAGGTGGCACTAGAGCAAGCCAAAGCAGGGATGCATCAGCCCAGTGGGACAATGCTGGCCCTGCTCTTTCACCCGTAGCACCAGAAACTCTGGCATCTTCTCCAGCGCAGCTCAGAACACACTTCTGCATTTGAAGCATATACTGGACTCAACTGTCCCCTGCCTGCCCCTGCCAGAAAGTGCAAAAAAGAAGCAAAGCTGACTACATCCCCCCATTTCAGTGACATCGGCCCCTGCTCGCCCAGTGTTGCTGCCACCGTGCTGCCACCCCAAGCACTCCGTGTCACGTTTTTGTCATTCACCTTAAAGCCTTCGAGGAATGTTTGTACTCAAAAGAGATCGCGCAGCACCACGAGGAAAAGAATTATTATCTCCCTCTCACTGTGGAAATTTTGATTCCTATGGCAGAGACAGGCTGAATCGCCACCAGCACAGCACACAAGATCCAAAAAAGTCTTCTAAACAGAGTCACAGGAAAAAGAAACAACAAGAACAACCACCTATGGCTGAGTGCCACCGATGCAGAGCTTTGCCAGGTACACAGACACAAAGGATTTCCAGTTAAGCTCGCAGCCGTCCCGCCAGCTCCCCCGCCTGGCAGATGCATTCAGCTTCGTTTTGATTCTGCTTGAGGGTACTTGCGGACCTCGCCGGGGGGCCTTTACAAGGCATACCTTACAAGCTTTTCCAAGGGATTCATGGCACAGTGACAGCACAATATAAAACAGGCACAAAACGCCAAGGGAAGAGAGGAGTGCAATACACACCTCCTCATTCCTTTCAGCCCCGATCTGTACCATCTCTGGTTTTACTCTATCATGCTTTGTAGCCTGTTGGGCTAGTTTAACAGTAATATGCCTCGCTTCTGACTACTGAAATGCACTTATACAGTAAACACCTTGCTCTTGCAGTTCATCCTGCAATGCTCCCTGTAGCCTGGCAGCCTTGCAGCCCTTGGCAGCTTTGTCAAGGATGAAGCTACCTGCTACCTGGGACTCAGTCCTTGCCCTCTCCTCACCTCATTCTTCTTCCCTGCAGGTCTACCCCAGCTGCTCCACTCACAAACCTCCCTGCGCAGAACAGAACGTGCATAGCGGCAAGTCTTGCCTAAGAGGTTCTATAAATTGCTGCTGTCTGTGCAAATAACGCAGCACTGAAAAAGCCTACATGCACAGGCAGATGGCCAGCTTCACCAGCTTGCAGTAGCTAAACCATTACACTAAAGGCACTAATCCTTGCACTAATGAACAATCTCAGCATTATAACAACATTTCTACCAAAATTAGACACCCAAGCCCCAGAAATCCTTCTACTGCAAACAAGCAAGCAAGTTAGTGACAAAGCTGGTTTAACTCACTGGCAGCCCAGGCAGTTAGGTTCTGGAGAAAGGTAACCAGTAACTCCCTGCCACCAAGCATCAAGCATCAGCAAGCAAGCCAGCATCAGCTCCCAGGGCCTGCACACAGCAGTCCCCCCCACCACTCCTGGTCCCACACAGCAAACGGCAAGGGCCAAATCACAAAGGGTCTGGAGCTCAGAGGAGTGATTCAGATAAACACCTGGCACATCAGATATCTAGCTGAATCCTTCATCAAGCCTTTTATTTGCAGAGCCTGTGAAAAATGCCTTGAAATTTCTTGAGAAGAGGCTGTCTCAGGAAATTTCTGGCAGGAAATTCCTTGTTTCTGTCTGGGACTGGCAGGCCACCTCAATCCACCTGACATGCCTGGCCCTTGCAGGAGCCACTGGATGGCAAAGACGTGACAAGGTGTGGAGTGGGCAAGGAGTAGGAGGAACCACCTGTCTCACTGCAGGCTGTCCTCTAGGGCTCCACAGGTTAACTGCAGGTCTGTTAACAGCCAAAGCATCAAAGAGCTGCCCTGTTTTGTTTGTTAGTGAACCTGTCAGCCCATGGCAGTGTGTCCTTCAAGCCAAGCAGAGCTTTTTCTTATATTTTTTTCTTTGTTTAAATGAGGTTAGTAGGCCTGACACATCTTTCTCTGCTAAAATTTTGCAGGCCAACACACAATGAGACTACGGAATGAAAAGGACGGGTGTCATAGGTTTCAAAGACAGGATGGAACAGCAAGCATGCCAGATCAGTCATCAGTTGGATCCGGGAAACAGTCCGAGGCATTCTCCTGACTTTCCACATCAACTATGACCTCTGGGTCTGGCACTTCCTCAGGCTCTATCTCCATTGGTACATTTTCTTCCACAGCAGACTGGGGCTCAATGCCGTGACCAGTCTGGGCAGCATCTAGAAAAGAAGAGATAAAAGATTTTTAATTGGCCACACTATGCTCACTTTCATGGAAATTCTCTCCCCAGTCCCTGATGCCACAGGCTGCCTAACTCAGTCCCCACTCTTCAGGCGTCTGCAAGCCATCTTTCAATTTTCTGTGTAACTTCTCATTTACTGAGCTGTTCAGTGTGGCTTTGTTTGCAAGACATGTTGGTGCTGAAATTCTCTGCGCTAAACTGTCTGAAATGTACCAAAATACAAAAGCCAAATCCATTCAGTCACATATAAGCAACTAAAGCTGTGTTCTCACCTAAACAGTTTCCCCACACATCTCTGCTTTTCGCTTATTTGTAGAAAATTTAAATACATGATACTTTGCTAGTCAAACTTACAAGGTGGAATTTTTCTGTTGAAAAAAAAAGTTTGACATTAAGTATATTTAACAATAACCTAAATGACTTTTTCTTGTTTTCTTTTTTGTACTATGTTCATGAGTAGCATTTTGAAAGCAGTGCAAAGCAACACCTGAGATTAGACATAGCTGAGCTGCTGAGTGGCCGTGCATTTTACAATGAAGGACGTCAGAACTGGAGAGAGCAGCGCTGCAACCAGGCTATGACCTACGTAACGTTGCTCCAGTCTATGTCATCACTGCTAGACCTACTTCAGCTGATGATGGTGCATTACTAGGTAAGGTGTTACTAGCGTTCATGTTCATGAAACGAAACATAATGAGTGAAACATAATGCACAAAGTGGAATATTATCAAACACTGACAAACCAGGAGACTTCTGAAAGGTTTTTATCGCTGCACTTTCTTGACCATACTGTGGTAAAGCTCTGGGGTTTTATTCTCAATTTCTTTGAAGGATTTAAAATGCAACTGTATTCCCACTGTAGCACCAATTTAAGGAAACACACAAGCCTCTGGCTTTGATGTGATTTCGCTGTGTTTGCAGTTCAGCATATCGGTGGATGCTGTCATAAAGATGACTGATTACAAAAATAATGCCAACCCTTAGAAAAATGTTACTGATGAGAAGTGTGTGTGTGTGTGTGTGTGCGCGCGCGCGCGTGTGTGTGTGTGTGTTAAAATTGCAGGAAGACTTAAATTTGGAGGGGTGGCTGGTTTTGTAAGATGTGTACTTAAGCACAGGAGATACTGGAACAGACAGTCTGCTCGCAGTACCCTCTGCAGGATGCTTCTGAGATGGCTGCTGCTACATCTCATGGCTAGATGAGGGCAAGAGCTACTCCTGTGCAGAAGCCAAGCACGAAAAAGGTACTGAATAAATGATCTGCTGCAGCTGCTGTCATCTGGACAAGATGTAGCATCTTCCCCACACCAGCTCCTCCCCCTTCAGTGACACATCCATTTTGTCCTTCACCCTCCTGAACAGGCTGTCTGAGTTAAAACAAATCACTGCACCCACCAGGCTTTGGAGCACAGTCAATTTGGGCACCTTGGGCCTCAACATGGTCTCCGTTGGGGGGGCTCTTCACACCTTCACTGGAGACCACAGACATTGTTAGCCCATCATCCTTCTCCTCTGTAAAACCAAAATCAGAGACTTGAAAAAAAAGAGATCCCCCACATCCCAGCAGCCTTGGCACACTCATTGCAAGGCCAGACCACCAACACACATGCGCGTCTCCTCCTCATACAGCTCTGGCTCCTTTTCTGGGGAACAGAATAGAGGGCCACTGCCAACCTGTCAGAGACCAGCTTGGCCATGCTGGTAGGATCACAGCTTGAGGTGGCCTCACCGGGGCATGGACAGATTGCACTCAGACTGGTGCTGAAAAAGGACTGCCATCAGAAGCCTTCAGGTCATTGCAGGATCAGACCTGAACAAGGCTTAATTTTTTTGCCCATAGAAAAGGGTTTGTTGTGTTTCTTTCCAGCCATGAGCTCATGGTGGCAAGGATGAGGCAAAAAAAAAAGGAAAAGCAAAGTTTAATTCAATACCCTGCTGGCCTGTAACATTTCCCTGCCAGCAAGCAGCAAGTACCAGGTCAGAGGAAGGCTGGCTGGAAGCTGAGCAGCCACCAAGCCGAGTCCACTTCAACTCCAGCCTGCACAAACATAATCCTCTGTGAGACTCATCCCAAGGAGCAAGTGTTCTCCACTCACCTGAAGGCACTGGGATGAACTTGTGTCTCCTCTTCATGCAGCAACATATGACTGAGGACACAGCCACCACAAGAATAACCACACCCCCTGCACACCCTGCCAGAATGTAAATGAACCATGGGTACTGCAGCAGGTCTCCTGCAAGAAGGACAGAGTGCTATTAGTTACCAGGGTGGAAAACCTTTCTCTAATCCGGAGAAACCCTGCAGACAGATTGGAGAATGTAAGCATTATTATTGCTTTGGTTTGAGTCTGAGGAACTGACATTATGAACTGTGGCACATCATAATTTACATTGCATTGTTTAATTATAGTATGGAATTTTTCACTGAGAGGCTTATGTGACTATGCTGTGTGCATTTGATTCTGCCTACTCTGACATGTAAGATAATTCAAAAGTTTCAATCAAACTTAATAGCAAAAGGGGTGGTTTGAAAGATACTACATTTCAACAAGTCTTATGAAAAGAGGCAGCTGAGCAGCAGAGGGAGACCTAAACTAGGATCTCATGCTGAAAGAAAAGCTACAGAGTCTACCCTCAGAGCTCACACTAGGCCTCAAAAAATTCACTTAGAACAAGCATGTAACAACTACACCAACCTCAAAGCAAGTCTGATCAGAGCCTGTGCCTCCTCCTCAGCCACCAGAGACTCCAGCCACCGGGGTCAGAGCTGTAGGAAACTGGCTTCACGGCTGCTCAGAGAAGGATTTCTCTTTATTCCCATTCCCAACTGAGATCATGCGAAACACGTAGCAGGAGGCGATGGCTACGCCTGGCTGGACGGAAGGCCCCATGCAAGTCGGTTGGTAATCACAGCCCAGTCCCAGTCCCTTGCTCAGGGCTGCTTTGACAGCCAGCCTCGCTGCTGAGGAGGGGAGCTGCCAGAGGGCATCACAGACTTGCAGAAGAGAGACAGCCATCCAGACTCACCCCTTCACTAAGAAAATATGCTCCAACCTGGGGTAGCCAGTAAAAAAACTCTTCTTCCCAACATGGAAAAAAACCCACCATACAGCTTAACTACCGTTATAACACAATTTCCTTAAAACTCCTTTAAGGTAAACCCAGGCCATCCCTTTTGAGTCATTTGGCTTCTTTTCATCTGTGCACATGCCTGCACAGCACCGCGCTGGGAAAACCAACAGGCTCATCTGGAGCTCGTTTTCAAGACTCCAAATACACAAATTGCTGCACAGCCCCAGCAGCTGGGAAGTGTTTCAACTTCAGGATACATGTTGTTATAGTCCACATAATCACCAGAATGGTAAAAACAATTGTATGCAAGTGCTTCTGCATGTGAAGTCACACCCATATTCAAAGTATTTTCAGAGTGCTTGTTCCAGTCCCTTTAGGGACATCAGTTACCAAGTTAAAAAAAAAAAAAATCTATACTCAGAATTAAGCTTTCAGCAAACAAGAAATCATTTCCATAGGAATTGTTTAATTTTTGATGAAAGCTTAGAGAGCATAAATATATGTTGGAAATATTTTTTTCTGAATAGTTTTTGCCATTTGTTAAAAAGGTCTTTTTGAAATAAAATATTGTGTTAAAAATCAGTGAAAACCCCAAGTAATTAATCAATAGAAGCCTTTTATATATGTCAACTTGTTAAATTTGAATCCTCTGCTTTAGATACTGCATGATCAAAGCTCTTTGGTGCCTGAGAAGTATAAAGTATTTCTGCCAAATTGCTTTATATCATTCAAAATTAATTTCATTGGACAACAGGTTGCCCAAATAGGTGCTTTTACATAGATCTTATACATACAGTGGAAAAGGTATATTCAGCCCACCAAATAACTCACCAACAAAAAAAATAGTATTGAAATAATTTAATTGAAGTAATTTCTCTCTTCAGTTAATTTTATGAGTATTCAGAACTCCTTCAGTTTGCTTGGTGACTTAAAAGTAGGATCACTACTACTTTTTTTTGCTCTCAGATCCTTCCAAAGACATGTTCATGCATGTGTCCATTCCAACAGAGCTATCACTAAATTCCCCTGTGGGCTTTTCAAGAGGAAATGGGGAACTGATATCGCACCCTGGGGACCGGGCAGTCACACAGAACCAACAACAGTAACTGTCAGCATTCGCGTGATTTATCATGGGGCTTGACTGAACAGCTCAGGGATGTTCATGTCCTCACTCCCCAGTGCCTCAGCCAACTCGGGTCTGACTACGCCGAACAACCTGCGGTCAATTTAACTGGACAAAATCCAGATCACTGCTCCACAATTACAAGTGCCAAACTTGTACAGACTGGCCAGCAGCGCCAACACAATCAAGCATAACAGCCCACGGCACTTCTGTTGACTGCCAGCACGCCCGGTACAGTGTGCGTGTTAGTAATTTTGCTTTTGCCCCAACCATATGCCAGCCACAGAAGACAAGACAGTGTCTGCCATGGAGTTAAGAGTACCTCAGATAATTTCTAAAATGCTAGGTGCTATTGAACAGTACCAGTTCTCTGGCAGCAAAGGTGATTAATGTAATTACAGCTAAATTAGTCAAAAAGCTTATCATTAAATTACACCACCCTGACATAGTTTTGATGACCATCTTTGCAGCTAAAGAAAAACCTTTGCTACTGGAGATGCAAGTGAAATTTTATTGAAGGTTATCTAATCAAGTTCACAGACCAATGCTTTGCATCATGAGGTTCTGGCTGTTTTGATCAGGCCTAGGATCGAGATTTCCTGTCTCATTAAAACATGGTCTTACTCAAGTAGAGTATTCAGCATTTATGGATAGCTTGCAAATGGGTAAGGTCACAGCCTTCTCAAAGAACTACATATCTGAGCAGGTACGTGGAGGGAAAAAACCCTACACTTTCTAAGTAAATGACTTGTGGCTTTACCCTACCTCAAATAATATGAACCTGATGGAGAGATATTTATATAGACTTGTAAATCTCTGTGCAACTGGCCCAGGTAAGGAGAAATGAGACAAGACAAAACACCTCAGCTGAGTTCAGCAGCAACAGTGCCGTACTAGAGAAGGTGTTTTTACAGGGCTATTGCAGAAACTGGAAGGCCGGTTGGGTGATAGATGCATGTCACAGTAGGAAGCAGCTCATGTTTCTAAATCAGCACAGAGGATCAGTGCACAGGAGGGTGCAAGGTCTCCATCACTGAGAATCGAGAAAACAGTCAAAGAGCCATCCTTGCTGCAGAGCTGGGTAGAAAGATACCATGAGATAAAGTCCTGAAGGAAGCAGGAGCCAAAGAAAGCTGGTCAGTATTTCAAGGATCACCTCCTCCAAGCTCAGGAGCAATCCATCCAGGCAAAAAAGTCAAGCAAAAAAGCCAGGAGGCCTGCATGGATGAACAAGATGCTCCTGGACAAACTCAAGCACAAAGAGGAAGCCTACAGAAGGTAGAAGCAAGGATATGTAGCCTGAGAGGAACACAGAGAAATTGTCTGAGCAGCCAGGGATCAGGGTAGGAAAGCTAAAGCCCTGGTAGAATTAAATCTGGCCAGGGACATCAAGGGCAACAAGAAAAGCTTCTATAGCTACATCAGTGATAAGAAGACCATCTCCTGAACACGCTTTCATCCCTTCTGTGGTTGTGAGCTGTGTCACTGAGACACAGGAGGAAGAAGAAAGACAAGTGGACACTTTCTCAAGTGAGGATGTGGTAAGTTTGGAAGGCAGCTGCCAGAGGACAGAAGAGTTCAGTGTTATACAGAACAGCAACTCCTTAGTTTTCTGCTTCAAGAGACTGAAAGGCAGATTTTCTGGAGACACCATTACTCACCATAGCTGCAAGACAGCACAACAGGCTTGGTCCTCGCGATGCTGTTCCCATGGTAAACCTCACATACAAATTGCCCGGGCACAGTTTTCTCCAGGCGAACCTTCTTCCCGCCATCCTTAACACAAGCCTCAGGAGCACTCAGGGCAGTCCCATTCAGCAGCCACCGAAAACTGGTGATCTCGGTACTGGTTGCGTTGCAGGACAACTCTCCGGTCCCATTAGGGAAACACTGGATGCCAATGGCTGGTTCTGGTCACACACAGCACGGGGGCAATAAGAACAGAGAGGAAAGAGAGAGGTAAGGAGCAGACTCAGCAGTGAACATGAGCTGGTCAGGAGCTTCCCTTACTGGCAGTCTTACCACCACATCTACTGGTAGTCAGAGGATAGAGAAATAAGTAAACCAGACTCTTCAGTGTCTGCCCCCAGCCCTGAAATGCACAGCAGTGCCCACACAACCCTGCTAGTGACTCTTAGTCCCTATTTTGGGGATGGCACAAAAATTGGGATTTTCTCTTTCAGTGTGCTATAAGGCACCAACCTATTTCCTACATTTGCCACTTCACAAATACAGACTAGGCAAAGAAGCGATATGGTTTTATGACAGTAATAGTCACACTGAGAATGTCTATGCAAACTTCCATGTAAATAATCTCAGAAATCACTTTCTTCAACTGGGACATCACCTTCAGCTAAAATTCACTGCCCCCAGGAGTACCTCTACCCTGAAATTGTTTCCCTGACTCAGGTGTGGCACAAACAGACCATAAAGGAGAGACAAAATTTCCGAAAGCAAAACTACTGAGATGGAAGTTAAACTCAGTACACTTCTGCAGTCTTTGCCGACTTCCAGTCTAAGCCCCTCATCTTTGTGCCAAGGATTCACATCTTTAACCTACTCTCCACAGCAGTTCCGCCTGTTTGCGCACAAAAGGTGTAAGGATTCATTTGTCTTCACTGAGACCAGTTTGCTCAGACATTTTCATTACAATTTCATACACTTCAATTTCTCTTAGAAGCCTGTATAAGTGAAAGCCCTGCAAAAGGAACAGTGAAGATGAGGACCAGAGCGATTGTCACTGGCTGTCTGGAGCACCATGCAGCAAGGGACAAACCCATTTAAGCCATTGATATTAACCCAAGTAATGATCTGAATCCTGCACAGAAGCAACTTTGCTTCTCTTCTCACTCTGCAGATGGAAGAGCAGGCATGTGAAGGGGAGCGGTGGGGCCACAGGAAGGACAGTAGGGAGACTGGCATCCAGAAGATGCTGACCTCCAAGTTGCTCAGGAGCACCTAAGAATCAGAAAATCACACCCAGATTCCTTTAGTACCTTTCCTTGGCTGCATAAAGCAAAGAAAAAACCTGGCATGCCTCAACCCAGACTGGTTAAGCTTCCAGAGCCATGTCAGGTAGGGTTAACTCCTTAAAAGAATGTGTCCATAGACAGCAAAATGCTGTCAGTCAGTGAGAACTTCCACAAAAGCCATCAGAAAGAGTACTCTAGAAATGGCCTGAAATCCCCAGCTACATGTCTACATTCTGTAGGCTCAACTTTATAAAGACTTCATGCTCCTATCTCTCACAACATGGAAAACCAGCACCCCTTAGTTTACACTCACCATTACTACTCCCTGAGGTGTTAAAAGCTTACAAAGCTGTTCCAGAGGCACCTATAGCTCCTGTAAGCTCAAGCAGTCTCTTAGGAGTAATTTCAAGGCTTCCAGCCAAGCTCACAAGTTCAAAAGCTATTTATTGCCAAGAAGGCCACTTACCAAATACTTCCAGTGTGAAAGACCTGGTGGTGTTGTGAAAAACAAACTCGTATTTTCCTTCATCCTCTTTCTGCACACTCCTCAGCACTAGCGAGCCATTCTCCAAGTTCAGGCATCTGCCAGCAGCAGTGCCACACTCAGCCAACAAAGTATCATTTAAGACGGCTGTCAAGCACCTCGCCTCCCTCTTGCTCATTCTGGAGAGGTTCTGCAGACTTTGAATTCCCACGGAAAAAACTGCCGAGCCACCGCTGAGCACACCGGTCCAAGTGGCAGAGCCTGAAAGGAGAGAGGCACAGAGCATGGGCAGCAAGCTTTCCACATCCATCCATCCATCCATCCATCCCTCCATCCATCCATCCCTCCCCTCTTTGCTGCTCCCAGAAAGGCAAAAACCCAGGTGAGAGCTAAGGAGGACAGACTGACTCCTAGTCACAGGCTGGGGTCACCAGTAACTGAAAATCAGAGTGGGAAGCCTTCTATAAATGCCAGTTTTCACCTTTGATAACACGGGAGTTGTGCACGCACCATACATGCAGGCTGAGCAGCTGATCTAGTCTCTCCCCAAAGTTGACAGGATCATCTACCACCCACCCTCAGAAGACTGTGCAAAAAAAGATCCTCGGGGCATCAATATGACGGATCGTGCACAGAGGGTAGCAAAACCAACTGCTGCCTACACAGCTGCTTTTACCCAAAGAGTAAGAACACAGGTTTAACAAGTCTCACAGCGTCTTCGCACACAATATTAAGTTGATGTACGCAAATCAGAGATGGGAAGACGGCAAAGTGACAGTAGCTAGGGGACTAATCCAAGGTCACACTGACCATTAGGAGTGAGACCACAGTGCACTCCAGACCCTCCAGCCAGCATTCTGCATACCTTACGTTCTATGCTGAAATACTTTTATAGATCCAGTACACTGAGAAAGTACTTAACTGTTAGTTATCATTCATTTGCTAAAAAAAAAAATCTGTCTTACTTTGGTCTGACTGCCCCTTTCATGCATTAGCTGTTACATTATTACATGCCTCTCAAACACCAACAGAATCCTTAAAAGATCTTGGAGTAAAATGAAGGTGTCTCCTCATCTAGGCAAATCCGTGCCAACCTGATAAAGAAAAATTCCACTTACCATGAGTAACAGTTATTATCACCAGTAAGCACTGCAGAGCAAAAGGAGAGCTGAAATCCATTTTAAAGAGCTCCTTGCATCATATGCTGAGAAGACGATCTGGCTACAGGGCTCAGTGAATATAGTGTTCAGGAAATGATGTCAGAGAGCGAAAAAAAAAAAAAAGAAAAGAAACTCCATAGTGGACCGAGTGAATAATGTTTCAAAATAGACCTGCAAGGTTTTGGGTGACTGAGCTCGGGCTGAACCAACACGAGCCACGATGTGCTCCGCGACGTGCTGCCCCTTGGAGCTAGCTGCAAGCGTGAAAATAGAGCTAAGAGGTGAGGAGTGACAAAAATATGTCCTGGTCAACTTACACTGTTTAGTAGGATGCTAATACCAAGACCAAGCAAAGGAGAAAAACCTATTTGTTTCACCCTTTTCCAGTTTCTCGAAGTACAGCGTCCCCAACTCAGGAAGAGAAATCAGTCCAGTCAGATGAACAACTGCACACACAGACCAGCTGCTTTTCCAAAATACTGAGAATGATCACTCACAGAGAGTCTCACCAGTAGGAGGTGTGGGAGAAGGCTTTCCCTCTGTATGCAAAGACTACATTGCCAGACTAAACTTTCCTGGGCTCTTCTAGTGACCAAATGGTACCTGTCTGACGGGAAAGGGCTCCATACAGCTGCCCTGGCAAAGAATAAAGGTTCCGGGACATTAAGTTTCAATGTAAAACCAGACTAGCCACCCCAGCTCTCTTTGGAGCACAGATCCCAGAGATGACATTGTAAAGCCAGTAATTTTCAAGAACTGCTGTGAATCAGCTATGTACAGGGCCAGATATTTTGTCTACACTCTTTGAGACAGCTTAAGGCACGTTGGCATTTTGCACTGAGTGCCAAGGTGGATTACACAAGCAAGGCAGCAGAAACTCCCGCGTTCACTTGAGGAAGTAAACTGTCACAGCATTAGAGACATGCTTAGCAGATGTGCTGGGGAATAATTGTGACAGCAGTTCAGGATGCGGCTGGGAAACTTACACTTTCATGGTGTTTCTCTGGACACAGACATAGATACAGCCCATTAAGGAAGCTTCACAGAGTGGAAACACATACAAACGCATTTCTGAGAAATAGTTAAACCCCTGTACTGCGGTCTGCACCATTTTTCAAACAATTTGGCTCTGCTTGATAATTCCACGCTTCAGCCAGTGGTTTGGCAATGACAATTAGATCTCACCTCCTGCTCCCAGTGCCCAAAATTTACAACTCTGTTTCAAGACTACCATAGAACCATCCTGTCTTTATCATATGTGCATAAGACAGGCCTAAATTGATCTAAGATGTAACAGAAATAGCCTTCTCTGAGACAAGCAGTGAAGTGAATCTTCAGACACTCACAGCAGTGCAGAGGAAGGGGGAGAGAGAAAAGTATTTACAGTAAGAAACACTTTCATTTCCTTCTGTGCTGCTGAAATGACATGAAGAAAATCTCTCTGAAGTGCCACTGCAAGACTGGGGCTAACCATCTGCCTCGGATGTGCACATTCAACTTCATTTCACCTTCATGCTTGAAGGGCAAGGTGGTAGAGCTTAGGGCTGTAGTGCTGTGGTAGAGAAACGAGATGGAACAGACAGCATGTGCAGGGTCACTTCAAAACAGCACCACAAAATGTTCAGAAGCTCGGAAAAACAGCAAAATGCAAAAGGTGCCTGCATTCAGCCAAATCCAGCAAAAGTTCACCTTCTCCTCCAGCCAATGACAGTAGCCTCACAAAGCTCATCTACAGATTTCCAGCAAAATTAAGGAAAAATATGGCCTTTCTATCACAGCTCTGCTGTTACAGAAGTGACTCTGCATGACTGTGACATTGCGGTGTCCTGTATTTAGTCTCCCTCTCAGTGACTCCAGGGCAAATGAGTACATTTATGAGTTTGATACTTCTGACTGCAAGTGCCCCATACATCACATAGTATATGCAGTCCCATTAGGCTCCTTCTGTCCCTCACCTCACTGGCTACAAAAAAAAAAAAAAAAAAAAGAAACCCAGATAAAGATGACAGCACATGCACAGTCTGTGTTGCTGTCAATCAGTAGCCTCCTCTTAAGACCAACACTCTCAAAGTTTCACATATAGGCATATTTTTTAGAGAAGATTAGACACTGATTTCTAACATTGGCTAACGAATGCTCACAACACCCCTGAGCAGCCAGAGAATTCACTTCCTCTTTTCACATAAAGATACTTGAAGTTTCGTGTGATTACTGCAGGCAAAAATCACCTTGTGAGGCTTAACAAAAACCACAGTTAGAAAAAGGAGGGAAAAATAAAAAGAACGCAAGAACCTGTAGCTGGAAGGCAAACTAAGATCTTTTTAGTGAGCTGCAAGCTCACACAGCCATTTTGCCCTTTCAGTCACTGATGGCATCTTGAAAGGAAAACAGAGATTCACTGCTTACATGACAGGAGGCATTTATAGAGCTTGGGAGGCTGGAAAACTTGAGCTAGCAAGTAAAGCAGGACACAAGTTATGAAGTATTATGAAGAAATTTGTACAATTTGCACATTCACTGCCTATCTTCCTTTCGATTGGCTGGCAAGCGTAAGCAGCACACCTATTTTTACTGCCGTTAATGCACATGAGTTGTCAACTGGGGAAACACTCAGGCCTTGCTTCACACAGAGGGAGGCAGCAAAGCTGAATGGCAGAAACTAAACACATGGAAACTGAAAACAAGCCAGAGGCTCCAGCGAAGCACAGAGCCGGCTCTGTAAGCTGCTTAGGGCTCCCAGCCCCAGGGCAGGAAACACTGCTGGTGGTCTGCTCTTCTGTCCATCTGTCCATTCATCTGTCTGTCCATCCATTCATCCATCCCCTGCCCTGCGAGGCAGTAGCAGGGCCAAGGCTACACCACAGGCTGCCAGGGCAGGTGCAACTTGGACCTTGCAGCACTGGGAGGAGCAAGGCTTGCAGCCACATTAGCTTACCTGTCCAATCCACACCCACAGCTATTCACATATGAAGTTGCTCTTAGGACTGTTTAACTGTGGTGTCACAAGGCAGGAGTGGGATCTCTTCTTCAGGGCACCCATAGATACTTTCAGCTTTCTCTTGCAAAGACACGGAAGGAACGTCCAAGATCCTGCAAACATGGAAGAGAATTTTGTTGTGTTGGGGACTTAGCAATGGGGCTGACAAAAGGCAAACCTGTACAGATACCTGCTCTGATACACAACCCAAGAGGAACCTGGGAGACTTCCCAGCAGCAGGTCTGCTATGCCTCAGACACCTCTCTGGGGACACACACCTCACTGGTCCTAGTCTCACACTTCCTGCCACAGCCTTTGTTTTTGCTATGTGATGCTGAGGCTACCCAGGACTCACTGAAACTGATGCTGCTCTTCTGTCTAAAATGTACAGTTCAAGTGCAATCTGTCTGACTTTTGCACAGCAGGGAGGATGCTGAAAGGGCAGAGATGGCAAGACTGCAGAGTAACCAGGAGCAGAGGATCTAACCTGCAGAAGCCCTCTGCACAGAAGTAGAAAAACCTCACAGTAGCACCTTGATTTCATGCACATGGCGCCCACTTGTCTCATGCTCCAGCATCACACTCTAAGAAAGCCCATCTCTTTGCTGCCCTTTAAAGCACAGTAGAGCAGTCCCATGCCTTCAGAATATGTAGACAACAAGCTGGAGAGAGGTTTCTTCAGCTCCCATTTTTGACAAAATGAAATCCATCTGCTTGTCACAGACCCCATAATTCACACACAAGCTCCTCTCTCTCAGACGGCTTCTCTTCTCACTCTTGTCCTACTATTGGGTGCTTCTCTCTTTATCCCCACCACCAGGCAGTTCAGAGTCAACATCGTGAGTTCACTCCCAACTCCACTACCATTGAGCAGCTATGGGGCAGACATCAAGGCAGGTCCAGAAAAGCACAGACATGGAGGAGGTACTATGCCACACTGCCATCTCACCTAGACACTCACTTATCACCTCACTGTCAGGCGAGACAATAAAAGGAATACAAGGATCCCAGCTGTCCAGGTCAAGCATGCCAATCCCATACAGTTTCTCTGACATAGCTCTCCTAGTTTGGCCAACAATGACAAGAGAAAAAAAGATGAGTCCATATATGGAGTAACTGCTAGAAACTACACAATTTATATTTAGCACCACTGCATGTGGGCTAAAATGCTTTGCATTTGCTTCAGAAGAAAACTGCCGTACTACTACAGAGCTATTCAAACGTATGGGGGTTCAAGCACTCTACTACATGAACAGAGCTTAACTGAACGATCACACCAAGGGCAACAAGCACAGTGCATACAGTCTAGAAGTGTTGGCTGATTTAGCTACAGAGAGAGATCTGTTTCTTAGAGCAGGCAACACAAGTCAAGTTAGGATCCAAGTTGCTACAGGTTGGTGCAGGTCAGCTACACTTTCTTTGCTTTCATCTCTAAGGAATAACTCAGACAAATTTCAGCCCTCAGTCAGTTTCATCTGGGTCCTGCTCAAAGGCTACCCCCACATATCTCTGCCACCAGTGCCCCCAGCTCACTGCCCATGGTCTAACCTGCCAAAACTGAGAAAGAGGCAGTCAAAATTGTCTCTGGCAGAGATCCTCTGGTCCTACCAACCAGGATTTATCTGCAGTCACACACTCACTCCCTCAAGTGGAGTCACCATCTTAGTCATCTTATCTTTGCCTTGCCTCATTTTGGTGAGGGAGAACTGACTTGGCAAAAGCACAGCTTGAAAGATAAACTTGGGAAATTTCACTGATGTTGCCATCTTCAAGCTAATCCTATAAATATCACTTTCAAAGACAAAGACCTTTCATAAGTTAAAATCCCCTGCAGGATTCACTTTATGTCTTGGCCTTACATTTGCTGTGGTCACAAGAATGTTAACACCAGGCTCATTAAAGAAATACTTTCAACACAGCACAGAACGGGGACGAGGGCCACTAAATTAGCTTTACAGCCAGAAGACCACAGGTGGTTATGACAGCAATTTCCTACTTCATCACACTCTGACACCACAGATAACCTAATATGACAGTCAAAA